TAGGACACTTTTTTGCCGTTTTCGCCCCTCCATTCAATTTTCAGATTCAGCCTAGCGAATGGGCCCGGTCAAGTACAAAATCTCAAAATTCACTTCTTGCCCGGATACTGCTTTTAAATTGAAAGCAAAGGTCAAAACGTAAACTTCAAAACTTACTTTTGTGACATAAATCAAGGTCTAGTCAAAAGCCAAGACGTTACAAAAGTTCTTGATTTTTGCTAATTCAATTGCTTTTGTGTCTGAAGAGGTTTTTATTGTTTTTGAGTGCAATCTCGTGGTATAATTGTAGTCAAAATTTCAAAAGTTTGTGCTAGGTGTCGATTAGTGCGTGCAACACTACAAAAGGAGTTAGAGTTTGGATCATTTATTTATATTTTCCTTTAAAATAAGTGCAAAACAAGAAAATCACTTTTTCTTGACAGTGAGTTAGGTGACCGGTTTTCAACTGTGTTTGTAGAATTCTTGGCTTTTCCCGCCAAACTCATCCTTTTATCCTCAGAACCCACCACCGATATTCATGAACGCATCATTCGAAATCAATTGCTTACTTATCCTTGAAAGAGCAGAAAGCTTTTGATTCATAATTCAATATTTCTTTCGCATTTTTGAATTATAATTCCGCAATAATTAGCTTTCATAGCGAGAGAAGAATTTTGCTATGAAGCCAAAAAATTTGGCCCTAAAATATAGAGGAAATGATTATGAAGTGGCAAAACAATACAATTCAGTTACAATTAAAATAATTTTTAGGTTTCTAGAAAGCGATATTTGGGATTTCAATGCGTAGTTTTTCAGAAATAAAAAGAACCTTTGCTGCAAGATTAAAGAATCTGCTGTAAAGTCATCAATCTTTTCGTTGTATTCTTTTCAGTATTATTGAACAGATAAGAAGGATAAAAATAGTACAATAATAACAATGGCGTACCCATAATTTCCGTTCGGGAGGGGGAACAATAATTTTTTCTGATGAAGGTGCGTCAGCCACGCACTCTGAAAAAATTTTTTGGTGTGCTTTCTAGAATTTTCGAGGGTCCATAATTCAGATCCAAAAAAGGGCGGAGCTTTAGCCATGCCACGCCCCCGACAATTTATTACAGGACTAAAATGGGTTTTTGAAACAGTTAAAAAAATTATTTCAATCAATTGCAAGTATAAACAGGTCACTCGAACATTTTTATAATTCATAAGTAACTTTCAATAATTTCGCTACCCATTCTCATTCCCATACCCACTCGCCCTCCTCCCCCCCCCCTCCTCGGTACGCCAGTGAACAATAATACCGTTAACCAGAAAGTCCGCCATTTTTCTGCTATGTGATCGCATTTGCTTGACGTAAAACGCTGAGTAGCTCACTTTTTACAATGTTTATATATCTATTCCATGGCTACCGTCTTTTTTTGTTCCAGTTGGAAAAGTAATATTCTCAGTCGCTGTATAGTTTTCTACATGACGTCTCCATAACGACTCGAGGGACAATTACTGCTTTCCGCCCCAAATAGTGCTTTTCCCGTCAAACTTCTTGGCCCCTTGAGTTCGGTGCTGGTCGTTAAGAACGAGTAATAGCTGGTAGTCTCAGCTGAATGCGCACGGCTAAGTGACGGGGGGGGGGGGTAGAAAGGGGGTGATTGCAGGGGAAGCCTTTTTTTAGCGCTGAGCAAACCGGACGCGACAGTCTCACTTCGAAATGGGAGAAGCTTCTTCGTATTGAAACAATCGTTGCTAGTCTTTGTCGGAATTCGCCTCGAGGAATTCGCTATTGCTTTGATTTTCGGTCCCACTTGGATATTTTGGAGTTTCCGCTGCCTTTTGGGGTCCTAGAGTCATTCTTGCGCATACTGAAGTTTTTTCAATTTTCGGGTGAACTTATCATAAAAAAAAACTTGAACTTTTCTGTTTTTTTTTTTGCAATAAGTTTCCAAATACAAGTAGGAAGTAAAATCGAATGTTTACGTTTCTACTATCATAAACAATTTGCTCAACTTTGGGATCTGGGGAAATTTTCATCCACAATAGAAAATTTTTTATTCAATCAGAAACACAGGTATCAAGCATGATGAACATCTTATAATTCTTCAAGCCTTCACAATTCTTTGCTTTTTCTGTGATTTTTCTGTAGAAGCTTATTTTTTATTTTCATTCCTGCTCTTGCATATTTCTTTCAGCACAGATTTACCACCAGCCTCATACATCGCTTCCATCTCTCTTTTCTTCTCTCCTCCTCCTCCCCCCCCCCCATCTTTTTTAGACTTTTGGGTTTAATGTCTCAGTCATCACAAATTCAACAGAGAAAACGTTTCCTTGATTCTCCCTTTTACTCTGTGCCTTCTCCTTTTTTGATTTTTCGGGCTTTAGTCTAGTCATTCCCAAGTGAAGGGAGGCAGCAAATGCTTTTTTTTTGTAAAATCTTTGAATATTCTCATATTTCTCTACACTAGAGGTTATGGCGGTCCTTGTGAAACATCGAGAGATCCGATCAATCGATCTATAATAATTGATCTTTTGAAAATAGGAGCTTTTTTCGGAATAAGTCCTGTCGTCATATTCTAAGAATTCGACGGTTATATAGCATTAAGATATTGATTTCTTGGCCAAATACTTTCCTATGCGTAGTGTTTCCTAGCGAATTGCCTTTAGAACGCCTTCGCGGCACATTTTCATGCAAAAATTTTGGGTTAATGTGATAGTTATAAACTTCAGACCCTCCTTTCAACTTTAACGCATAGAATCATGTAATTTTAGTGCTGCAATTATGTTGAAATGCATACCTTCTTTAACTACTCGGGACCAAACGCAAAATTATTACTTTGTAAAAGACTACATCGGTTATTACTGCATCATTGCTTCTCAAATTTGTTTTCAGTCAAGGTATAGTCAGAACCCTATAAGATTATTCTCACAGTGTCTAAGGGCCGCATGCACTAACATTTCCGCTAGGGAGGGGATCGCAGTTCAGAAGAAAGCTTCATATCCCGAAGCTCCGGATATCTGGATTTCACGCTGTCTACCTGTCCGTAAGTACTCCCGCCATCCTTCACTATGAGCATCTTGAGCAGAAGCAAGAATCTGTACAAACCGCATTTCCCAGCTTTTTGTAGGATCCCCTGATGGTCCCTGGGGGACGAACATCTATTCTTCAAAGTCATTTTTCTTCCGAATTCAACGAAAACCTTCCAAAGTTATACTGAACATCTAACACAACAGTGCTAAGCATGTTATTGATGAGAACAAATGAATTTTTGAAAAATCGAATTTTTCGGTATACCTCAAATTTCGACCTGTGGATCATCGAAAATTTCATGACTTCAAAACATCATTTGTTCTTATCAGTAACATGTTTAGCACTGTTGGGTTACATGTTCGATACAACTTTGGAAGGTTTTCGTTAACCTTGGAGAAAGAAAAATGACTTCAAAGAAAAGCGCCGAGGATCATCAGGGCTCGTACAAAAGCTGGAAAATGCGGTTTGTGTAGCTTCTCGCTCCTGTTCAACATGTTCATAGTGAAGGATAGTAGGAATACTTACGGATTGGTACACAACGTGAAATCCAGGTGTCTGGAGTTTCGACGAAGCTTTCTTTTAAGCTGCGATCCCCTCGCCGCAGGGATGTTAGTGCATGCGGCCCTAAGTGTGAGGCGAAGTTACTTATTTTGCGTCTTTTGGAAAAATAGATGTTATCCAGCTACATAAGTTGCTGCATGATTTTTTGCACGCAGTTTTTCGTTGCTTCTTTGTCAAACTGGGTATGAGTGCTTCGAATTTCCACCATTCCTTATCCTTTTTAGATAAGCCAACCAGTTGTCCTCTGATCCAGTGGAAAATCACCCACTCAATTGATCATTCTATGGCCTTTTCATATCACATCATTCAGTTCTGCATTTTCGAAGTTTTGCGTCATAGCATCTTGCCTCCATTTATCCACAAGCAAAAACCTCAAATTTCTGGCGTTTAAGTTGTCCAAAATACGTCGGCATATATTATAGTAATCCTCACCTAAACCAACAATTCATTAAAACGTTAAGATATACCCGTTTTGTACTTTTTGCTCAATAATTGGACGGAGGGATATCACCAAGATTGTTAGGGGGAAAGGAGCACAAGGTTCCGCTATTTACCAAGGATAGCCAAAATTTCGAGGGGAGGGGGGGGGGGGGGAGAGAGAGACAGGAAAGCAATAATGCAGAGTTCCAGAAAAGTTCATAGCAGTTAACGATCAGCACTGACTATTTCCAACTATTTTAGTGTGAACTTTGTGTGAAACGAGGTGAAAATAAATCTGTCTGGCCTTTCCATATGTTCTCACGTTTTTGGAGTTTCAAATACATGACTATTGAGATTCCGAAGGGGGGGGGCTGCAAAATTTGTTAGTCATGGATAATAGATGCTATCGACACGGTTTCTGTCTTCTTGTTAGCTAAGACACCTAATCGGTTCGCTCAAGAACTATTTTGCCGAAAATTTATGGTCCAGATTTTCTCTTTGCAAAATTTTTTGCCCACTAGATCTTGCTGAATATTTTCGTTGTACCACCTTGTTGAAGTCCTATAGTATAATTTTTTTGTTGTCGATATCACAGTTCCCACTCTTACCCAAGATCTTCTATGTAAAGCAGGTGTCCTCATTATCTTTGTAATATTATCTTTTTATCTTTTCTGCATGAAATTTTCTTTCTGCTGCAAGATCACTTCCAGAGACATGTTCTCATGCAACAAACCCCAATTCTATAACAATTTTTCCGCTCCAATGAACAAAACCTCTTTCGATAGTAAGCGATGTTAAGGTCGCGTCGGTCTAATTAGGCCCTAATGAGTTCACCCCTTCTCAACTAGTTGTTCGCACATAAATCAAAACATCCTCACCTCTTTCAAAACAACTTCATTTTCCCTCCTTTGAGGGATCTTATTTTCGATTTCCTCGCTTTTTTTCCAGAATTGGACTGAATTTGTCTTTGGAGCACTTTGTTGGCATATAGAGCGCGAATGTAATCAAGTACTAATTCCAGGTGAGCGTTGCTCGAGCCATATTCAGTAACGTGAGCGAGTTCGACGAAGAGCTGCCATTCGAAAAAGGCGACGTACTGCGCGTGTTGAGCGAGCGACCTGGTCAGTTTTCTGTCTAGGACCATTTGCTTTTTTCTTATTATTTCTTTATTTATACAGTCGTCTATGCATATAATACATGGCATACTGGAGGAACAAAAATTGAGCAGAGATTTCTAAATAAAACTTTGAAACAGCGCGGCAGTAGTAAATTGATTTGAGATCTATGCAGTTATTACAAAAAAGGCAAGAACGAAAGATAAGGCTGTAACTAAGCAAATTTTCAAGACAAATCTTATATATAAAGCTGAATGTCTGTTTGTCTGTATGTCTGTATGTATGTATGTACGTATGTTCCGAATAGAAAATTCCATTTCTGAACCGATCCGGACCAAACTTGGCACACATACACTTCGGGCCCCGGCGGGTGTCATAGGCTACTTTTCGTCATCGATCGATATCGATTTTATCGATTTTTATCGATTTTTTTGCTGAGTTCACCTACGGGACTGGGAGTTGGCAGAGGGGGGTAATCGAGCATGGGGATTCCGAATACAATATTGGTTTTCAAGATTATCGATTACTTTTATCGATTTTATCGATTTTTTTGCAAAGTTTGAGCTACGGGGCTGGGAGTTCGCACAGGGGGGTAATCGAGCATGGGGATTCCGAATACAATATTGGTTTTCAAGATTATCGATTACTTTTATCGATTTTATCGATTTTTTTGCAAAGTTTGAGCTAGGAGGCTGGAATTTGGCACAGGGGGGTAATCGAGCATGCTGATCATTCCCAAGGGGGGTGATCAGCATGCTCGATTACCCCCTGTGCAAACTCCCAGCCCCGCAGGTCAAACTTTACAAAAAATCGATAAAATCGATAAAAGTAATGGACGATCCTGAAAACTAATATTGTGTTCGTAATCAGCATGCTCGATTACCCCCTGTGCAAAATCCCAGCCTCGCATGTCGAAATTTACAAAAAATCGATAAAACCAATAAAAGTAATCGATAATTCTGAAAACTAATATTGTATTCGGAATCCCCATGCTCACTTCCCCCCCTGTGCCAACTCCTAGCCCTGTAGGTGAACTCTGCAAAAAAATCGATAAAAATCGGTAAAATCGACATCGGTCGATAACGAAAAGTGGACTGTGACACCCGCCGGGGCCCAAAGTGTATGTGTGCCAAGTTTGGTCCGGATACGGCGGAGCCGGGTAAGCCAGCTAGTCTCATAATAAGAAGAGTCGTTCTGAAGTAGTTGTAGGCTTAGAAGAAATACTTTTTTCGATGCCAAAATCAAACTAATTGCAGCATATTTACTAAGATAAAATTTCGTTCCATAAAACTGTCCCTTTTTTCCTTATGTAACAAAAAAATGGCGATAACGATACTAAAATAGGATGTGATCAACCTGGATAGTGAAGCAAGTAATTTTATCCATGTAAAAAAATTTACAACTGATAATGAGACCATTCTCTTTTTTGCAGCAAAGCATTTGTCTCTCTTGATTTGCTTCTTTTTCTTTAATTTTTTTTTGATTTTTTTTGATTTTCACAATGGTCATCTTTTCTTACTTTTCTGGCTCAAATTTGGGGCATACCATAGTTCAGAATAAAACTAGAACGGCATAAATTTAGGCTGTCTACTTTAATATATATATACTCATTTCATGTTTAGGAATTCCAGAGAAGGAAAAAAATCGGTAGCAATCCTCAGGAAAAAATTGCTCAATTTTTGTTCCTTTCTGCTTCTACTACTTATTTCCACTTTCGTAAGACATTCTTTGAATGGAGTCGCGATGGCATTATTTACTTCATAGAAATTCATGCAAGTGGTTTTCATAGTATAATTAGCTGCATTTTGATCTCCCCTTACTTTAATTGATAAGGGCCGGGCATACTTCACGCGATTTCAGTCGCGACGCGATTTGGCAATGTTCCAACTGTCTATAAATCACTATAAGCACATTGTAAAGGTGTAGAATACAGGGCATTCCATCAATTCACGTAAGTTATACACACTATGCATGTGCAGTTTGCTAGAAGTGGATCTGAAGACTTCTGGCAAGTTGCCAAATCGCGTCGCGACTGAAATTGCGTGAAGTATGTCCGGCCCTTATAGGGAAACTCTACCAGAAAATTCCATATGTCGCTGCAAATTTGTGGATTTCACGATTCTGAAGCGTCTCCTAATGCCATCTAGCCTAGATCACATTTCTTTTTTTTGTAAAATCTTTTTTTCTGTAATTTGTCAATATTAACAGGCAGGCTTTCTACCTATCAGTGATATTATGATAAGTAACTAAGCATAACTTAATAAAATTCCAAATCTAAGGGAAATTGGTCAAGACAGTAAACAGAGTTTATTATTTCCCAACTAATACAAAGTTAGTCGATTTTTTTTCAGTCTCTACTTGTTATTCCTTCTTTTCTTCTGTTTCTCTTCCTTCATTTTCCCCTCTCCTCCCTTCCTGCTTCACTTAAGGGCCGGGCATACTTCACGCAATTTCAGTCGCGACGCGATTTGGCAATTCCCCAGAAGTCTTCAGATCCATCATTAGCAAACTGCGCATGCATAGTGTGTATAACTTACGCGGATTGATAAAATGCCCTATCTTCTGTACATTTGAAATGTGTTTACAGTGAGTTATGGACAGCTGGCATATTGCCAAGTCGCGTCGCGAGTGAAATCGCGTGAAGTATGCCCGGCCCTTTATGCCTACCATGTCGACAACAATTACCAAGCTTTCATAAAACAAGGGATTTTTAAATTAGCATATAGCAACGGAATACTGTACATTGCCCTTAGGTTACGGTAGGGCAAGCCAATTCAAAACTTTTGACGGAGTTGTAACGCATCCTTTTCCCAATTCATTTGCGTCCTTCCGTTTTACGCTCACTTTTCAGTGCTAAAACCCGGTTCTATTTACCTTTCTCTTCCCAAAAACTCTCATTCTATTCTTTCCCCTCCGCTCCCATCAAAGATCTTCTTTGCTACTTCCGAGTTGCAAACCACCCCCATGCGCCTTTGTATAATGTGGGTTGAGGAATTTGTGGAACTCGTGCACATTCAGGAACGCCGTTAAGAAAACATTAATTTCTTTACTGAGAACTCGTCTTAGCGATTCCATTATCTTCTCATTCCGAAGGTTTTTTTCTAGCGCTTCTCGAACATTTGTTTATGTTCACGAATTAGGGTCTCACGTTATGTTCAGTGCAGATATGGTGCCCTTTTGCATGACACGACAGGGTTTGGGAACAGGTGCGGGCTGTGGGAGGGGGCGAGGGGGGGGAGGACGTGATTATTTTTTCTTCACTTTTTCAAAATGTCTATTATCACTAGAAACTTTATTATTAGAGGCTTGTGGCGAAAAAGGCCAAAAAATGTGATGAATTTTGCCGGTAAAATAGAGTTGTGCAATCACACGCATCATCCGTGTTGCTTGCGTTCAACATTCCGGATAACAAAGACCCTTGTGGCCAATGCTCACTAGAATTTCATTCTGATGCCTGAAAAAAAAACAAAAATTAAGAAAGAAGGCTAAAAAAGCACTAACATAAAAAGCTCGTAGTGTTTCATTGAGATCCAGGATCTTACGCGCAACGTAGACGCTGTGTGCATCGCACATTTTTGTTACGAAATAACTTGATCTTATACTTTGCTTTACTCACAGTTGGTTCAGCCGTGGTTTTTTGAATTTATTGATTCATTCTACATTTTCATGGTCTCGTATTTTTACTCAGGGAAGTGCAAAAAAAATCATTCGATTCTGTCTTTTTGCCCCAACTTTACCCCCTTCGAACTTTTTCATAGAATGGGAGATATTACTTTTCTCAACCCACCTCTGTCTGATTTAAGTTTAATCCGTGCTTTCTGTTTGCAATATGTATTATGTAAGATAAGTAGGGCAGAATCCAACCGATAGTATTTTCTTAATATGGGATAACCCTCAATGGTAAGGGTTCAATGGGGGGGGGGGGGGGGGAAGCGGAGGTCTTGGGGTATTGGTTCATCCAAAATCATTGTTAAGTAAAGTTTTTACAATCCGCTTTAAAATGGTGGAATCAACTTAGCGGAAGATTATAGAACATCGTAAGGAAACAATATTCCTTTTGTTGATTTCAATTCTCTTAATCATCTGAAAAACCGGTTCAGTTTTCTTACACTTCTGCAGAAGCCATGCTATCCTGTGAATCTTGCAATCCCTCCCACCTGCGGAAGTACTGACAGGTCAAAGTGTTGCGGTACCGTTGCTTTCGGAATTTTCGTAGCGTTTCGTAAGCCCTGCAGGAGTTCCCGTTTCCAACCAGTCTAACGTTGAGATCCTGCGGAAATTCCCATTTTCAACGTTTTCCCCTTTGTAACAGTAAAAATGCTGCGAAGCCGCTTCAAATTTTGCGTGTTCTGCGGAATTTTCGGTGAATTGTCTGGGATGTTGCTTCAGTACTAAATGTTTATTCCCAGGTTTTCTTCAAATATTATAGTTCTCACTCAGCTCCAGATTTCCGCGCTGAGAATCCTCGAATACTCTTTTTTACCCGCTCTGCTTGGGTGTTCCCATTTCTTTTTAACTTGTTCATCGTCCTGGTTTACTCGAATTCTAGCTGGCGCCAGGTAATACGATTAACCTCCTCGACTTCCTCACAACCCAGTTGAACTCATTTCCTCGTCGTTCGTCTTCATCCTTCGTCCATCGTAGGGTCGCAGCGTTTTTCTACTCGTACAGTACCTATGGAGAAGGGTAAAAATCTCCGACATTTTCCGTGGACAACTGGTCCTTTGCGATGATATTGTATGGTGTTAGAGGTGCAGTTGTCTGCTTGGCAACCTATGGCGGAGTTCCATCTCCTAACCATTGCATCGATATAGGCCCACACCTAATAATCGATCATGTTTGTAAAGCGACCTCCTACAGTATGCTTACAGTACTCCAAATTACAGTTGCAGAAATTATCGATTACTTGGTAAACTTCTAGTCTAATAAAATTGGTACTTTAGCATTAGACTGATTAGAATCGCACCTAAAATCTTGATAAATTATTTTGAACACGATGAAAATCTTCAAATATATTGCATCAAATAATTTTCGGTTTTTTTGAAAATGTACGATCATTTGATTTCTAAAATATGCAAAATAAAAAATTTGTAAGAAATTCTATTCCTAAACGTGGCCATAAGCTCGCTTATAATTTGGCCACTCCGTAATTTCTTTCATAGCAACAAAGCTACTATAATATAAGCTAAAGCAACGCTTTTTCATTCGAAGGACAATTCCTTCTTCTTCTCTCCCCCCCCCCCTCTCCCCTCCCCTCCCCTACTCCCCCCCCCCCTTCCCACTCGAAAAAAAAATTCATTTTCATTGCCACGGATGTCTATTCAGGCACAAATCTTTATTTTTTTTACATGGTTGCTGATTGAACTTGTGCAAATTTCCCGTTTCTTAAAAATTGTAAATACACAATGAGGAATGTTGGGTGTTCAATAGTTCGACTGCACGCTTATTCGTCAGCAATTAAGTCGTGTGGTGTTTACACGCTTTTGTGAAATATTTGCACTTTAATGCTTTCCTTATGTGGCCGGTACCGTTAAAATTTTGCGATTTCTTCGATGTTGGAATGGGTATACTTATCAGAAATTCTGCGGTGGTTTGTAACTCCCTCAGTAGTGCTCCCACAATTTCTAATGCTTTTGTCAAACTTTTATCTTTTTAGCACCTTGCAAAATCACTTTGGTTAAGCAGTTATTCAAACTGCTTCAAAATAAAATTTCCAGAATGGACTCCATAAAGCCAGATTCTAGGATTTTTCCATCCTTTGCACAGCTTGCTTTACAAAATCAGAAATTTCTGTGTTCCTTTGCTGAGATGTAAGGGTCACGCGATCATTGATGGATTTCTTTATGCAATGATCGTACGTAATCACGTTGTTTGTTGCTCATCATTCGCCGCCATAAATTCCACCCTAACTTCCCCAGTACTACCGCATCCGAAGTGATTTTGGTCTGGGAGTACGGTACTGGGCGAGAGTTGAGAGTTAGATTTCTTGAGATTGTGCCCTATGAGCTGCTGCTTGTCGGGTTTTAAGGTTCCTTTATCATTTCCCGCACAAAAAATATAAATAAGTAACTCTTCTAAATAAGCAAAATTAGCTGTTGTTAAGAATAATAAAATAATTCTGAAGTGTTATACGGAATACCTTCGTTTCATTTAGAATACGAAAAAGGATCAGAAAGGTAAGAAAAGGCTGAGAAGATTTCAAAAAGTTGGTCGGAAATTCTGCTGCATGCACAGAATTTCCTGCTTCCTAATAAATTTATATTACACCTTGTCTTTTAGTACCGTTAGCATTTATTTTCATTTCACCTGAGAGGCACGGCTATGGTTTGTCTATAAACAGGTCTTTACTACAAGATTCCGCGGAAATTTAATTTTTCTCAAAAATTAATTGGCAGTCGAAAAGGATTTGAAACACATATATTATCTCATCAATTTCGGTAAGGACTCTTGTTGAACAGTTATTTTGAATGGAATGCACTTATTTATCCGTTTACTTTTGCCTATACACTTCGCTAATAAATAAGCAATGAATAAAAGCCAAATGGGAACGGTGCGATAAAAATGTTAGAAAACAGGTTTTCTTTACAGGACCATTGAAAATTTTCAAACAGGGCTATGAGACGGTAAAGTTCGTTGCGCTCCAGCTATTTTCGAGCAATAAAAATGAAATCGAGAATTTTTGCGAGTTGACAAGGTTTATTCAAAAAGAATTTCTGTAAAAAACGCATCTTATTCTTTACTGTTCCCTTGGTGCGTACGTTGGGTTTGATTTTTGTTGCAAGAATTTTTTCTAAAATGGAATAATGTTTTTAACTTTTCAAATCACATTCGTGTATGTTTATTTTTATAGAGGCTGGCAAGAAAGTCGGGCAAGTTTTTCGCTGTAAAATAGCAAGAAAAACTAGGTCATGAAGAAGTGGCAAGCTCCGCCCCTCTTGACCCCTCCCACTTGTTCTATCATGAACTTGCGAGAACACATGTGTGCAAATCTTTACCCTTATACATGTAAATCCTGAAAAATAGCAATTTTAATTTGAAAATGTCTGAAAGCTTCCTTGACTATTTCATTTCACTTTAGTATTGATTTACAAATTTAATCGAGAACGTTTCTTTTTTCAGAAATCGAGGGTATATCAGACGGTTGGTGGTTGTGTGTTGATCGAAACGGTAGAAAAGGCCTAGCACCGGCTAATCGTCTACAAGTCATGCATCGATTCGATAAAGGCGTAAGTTCAATTCTTCTCTCTTTTGAGCTTTTCAGCATTTTTTCCTTTTCTCGTTTTTTTGTTTTCTTTGCGCACGACTCAACCAATGCTCAGCGCATCATTTGCTACTCGTCTTTCTGTTTGTAGAAAGGGGGATTGGGGGCTGCGCAAATTTTTGTGTGTCGTAAAGTTTTTTTGTTTGACTTTGTTTCCCTCAAGTAGTTCCACATACCAGACGCGAATTATTAGCTTAGTACAATACCACCCGTAATTTGTGAAAAAAAAATGGCGGCGGCACTTAACTTACGCGGCGCCGCCATTTTTTTTCACAAATTACGGGTGGTATTGTATGTGTACCGCACAATTTGCGCGCGATCTTACGGCTCGTATGCTGACGAGCTATCCTAATTTTCTGATTGCTTCTACTTTTAGCCTTGAATAGCCAAAAATGTATAAAAAAAATCATCCTTTTCACCATTTTCTCTATTGATACAGTTGATACTGGCCGTTCCAATTAGTCGTAAGATGAAGCGCGTCGTGTGCAATTTTACATGTTAGACTGTGTCCAGAGTTGGTCATGCTAGCGCTATGCTAGGCGTGCTAGCGTCGCGTCACAAATTCGATCAATTGCGTGGTGCTTCAATGGATCCGGCATGGAGCTAGCACGGAGCGGGCGCTGCCAACTCTGAACGCAGCGTCATTTGTGAGATTGTATAACACGCACCGCATTATCGTCTCATATGCTGAAATCAGAGAATTTTTAGTAGTTTTTCTCCTTGTAAGCTCAAATAGGTGTTAAATGATTATTATTATTATTATTATTATTATTATTATTATTATTATTATTATTATTATCAAGAGCAACGACTTCGTTAATAGGGTTCTCAGTACCCTTTCCGGAAAATAGCCGTGAGATGCAGCGCCTGGTGTGCAACCTCGCATGTTAGCCCACATCTAGACTTGCCCTTACTCGTGCCAAGCCAGCGTCTTTCCAGCGTGGTGCCAGCATCTTGCTAACAGCATGCCGAAACATTGATCGATAAACGGGCGCGTTTACTTGAACTCCGCTTAGAACCGGCACGGCCTTGGCACGGTGCTAGCACGGCTCCTGCACGCAAGCAACTCTAGACGCAGCCTCAGGTCATCTGTCATTTCGTTGTGTTTTTTCACATTTTTCGATGAGAAAAGATTTTTCAAGGTGCGTTCATAAAAAAGGTTTTTCATACATTTTTTCGTTATAGCTTTTCATTTGTATACATAATAAATAAATTGCAAACGTTTACGCTGACAGTGATACTATCCTACAAGTATAGTTGCGGGTTTCGGCATGAAGCCAGCACGGCAGTGGCACGCCACTGGCACCATATGTAACTCTGGACACAACCTCATGCCAACCATCAAATATTTTGCAAAATCATCTTCTAACACATTTTCAGAGAATCATTAGATAGCAAAACTCTTTTGTGGTGTTTCATATACAAAGGTTACATATAGCTTTTTTCGTGATACCTTTTCATACACATAAAATTTTTGAGTTTGCATCGAATCTAGAAACCATCAAATGTGCTCTGCACTTGAGCTGAAGTTACTTCTAGTTTGGGTACCATGGAACCGACATGGCGCTGACACAGCTCTGGCACAGCTCTAGCACCATGGTTAACTCTGAACGCTACTCTAAATCACAACTAACTCTACTATAGCTGCCCTCAAACTAATCGTATACGCTTTCGTGTGCTCGGAACTGCCACTAAACGCTCTCTTTGTATGAATTCATGCCACATTTCCTATCGATTCTCTCTATCGGATCGAATCTAGCCGTGAATAGGCTTTTTATCTCCCGGCGGTTACATGAACTCTATCGTTTTGTGTTCGATGATTCACCCGTCTGTGCCGAACGCGCTGATTGCGAATTCGATGACGCTTTTGTGTGGTTGGGTGGAATATTATGTCTGATTTATCGCATACTGTTTTTCTTTTTCCTTATACTTCGTCTTGAATTTGCATCATAACTATTCTTCCCATCATTGCATCTGAATGTGCTAGATGTTTCCAATGGTCTTTCACCCTTTTGAGCTATATGGATAACTGTAATTTGCGCAAAAATCCATGTGCAAATTTCTCAAGTTTAGAAGAAAGAATTCCCTTAGCCCCCCCCCCTCCCCTGCTCTTGAGACCAAAGATAATTTTTGTAGCCATGCTAATCATTTGATATGCATGTTCAAACGAAACTTCTGATGACCAGAAGCGGGGCGGGGAAAAAAGGCAGATTAGGCACTCCAGAAATTTCTCAAGTATTGAATTTTTGCGTCAGTGGCCGTGCTTTAACAAAAATCTAATCATATGAGTAAACAATAAAAAGCAAGTTTCTGTTATCAATTCCACCTGAGCAATAACAGGAGAGAAGGGGGGGGGGCAGTGGAATGAGATCAATAAATTGCCAAAGCAGGTCGTGTTTCGAAATTTGAAATTTTTGCATCTAATCTAGAAATCTACAGTTGCTGAAGTTTTGAGCAACAAATAAAGCATTTTGATAGGAATTTCTTTCACAAATTCCTATTTTACAACTGAACTTCTTAGGTTTTATCTTTTCTCAAAAGAAAAATTCCCTTGGTTGGTTAGTCATTCGGAAAACATCCATTTATAACTCTTCAACATCATAAAGCAGTGGCACTGAGAAATTTTTTTCGAGCGGGGGAGGGGGGGGGGGGTAAGAGGGAAGAGAAATTGGATGGAATGCAGATGTATGACTGAAACTACTCAAGTTTTGCCTAAGCTTCTCCAAACTTTTCTTTCTAGGGTATTTTGTATTTTGGACTCAATAAAGTTAATTATAGATTAATATAAGTATCTGCATTCTATACATTTGAAATTCTTGATCAGTTTTTTGCGCTTCTATGGAAGTTTTGTTTTGACATGAAATAAAATTTCTGTGCAGTCTAGTAGATTTTCTGTTCACTGTGATATGGTTGCGGTGCCGAAATCAAGTGGTAAACTTTTTGCGTGAACAAATAGGCACTCCAAAAATGCCGGCATTTTGCGCGCGCATGTGACCGGCATTACAGGCGTAGCAATTTATTCACGCCCAAACTTCTCCGCAAACCCTCGGCACCGCAAGCACACTGTATTGCACACTCAATTCAACATATTATAATATATTAAGATTATTATACATGTTGTATTATGCTATATTATTAAATTACACGCTAATTCACTAGATTGTAACTTCTCAATTCAAAATGTTAAGTCTGCGAAAGAAAAAATCAAGAATTCAACCCCTAACTCCGTTGCTCATGATTTTCCTTGTTCCTTAGCGGATGAAATCAGTTTCCCAAACTTGCTCAGCGGTTTTTTTTTCGCTTTCGTTTCCCGAAGTTCAATTAACGTCACCCTCGTGTTCGCCCCAAAAAACCCGCGGTCCTCGTGGAGGTCATAACCTGTCCACGTCTGCGTGGCTAGGTCCTCTTTCACCTCTTCAACAACGAGTTTCTTCGTTCGCTGAGAGAGATGAATAAACAGAAACTGAGCTGCGTGATCTGCAGTGTCGATCAAGTGGGTATTAAAAAACTGGTTCTCGAAAGTAACGCACATATAATAAAAATATGCTGAAAAATTGGACTCATAGAGCGATCTTGAGTAGGATGCATTACTTTTGAGCGTCCATGTGTGGGTTTCAAAAGTCAAAAAGACGTAGATCAAGAGCATGTAAATGCAATTTAGAAAGTGCTAGATTGCTGATGCTTTTCCAAATCTTCTATAGAAATAACTCGACCAATTTTATTTTACCAAATCAGATTCAAGAGAGGTGAGACAAAATTAAATAATCAAATCAAATATGATTAGGTGAATATTTGAAATTGAGAGCTCGTTAAAATTTGTAAGCTCAAAAATTCTTCATTTTTATGATGCCGTGAAATCTATTTTCTATCTGACAGTTTTGAGATTTATTTGGAGGGGGAAGGAATGAATCTAAATAATTTTCCATAAGGGGCGATTCCATTTTCCCTGATTTCTGAACAACGTTTGGTTTTCCCAAGTATGTTTCCCAGCTTTTTCTGCAGTTTTGCTTTCTTGAAGGTTTTTTTTTCGATCAGTGATTATTAAATGCTTATTGATGACGTTTTGCTTTCAACAAGCAATCTTTGTAAAGTTATGATCATTTTTTCTTTCAATCAATGATCTTGTGTGATTTCTGTTGACAAATGCATGAAAAATCAAATATGATGGGTAAAAGGTTGTGATTTATTGGTCCCAATAATTACAGCGAAAGAAGGTGAACTTAGGTTCAAAAAGTTATACTTATCTAGGATCATTTAACTTGATAGAAAATCTTAGCCAGTTGCAGAAGATGTATCTTAGCCAGTTGCAGAAGATGTTAAGTGTCAAAGTAAGAAATGACGAATTCATTTTGCAGCTTTTCAGCATATTTTACTTATATTTCTAGAAAACATTTGTTCAAAAATTATTGACTTTCTCCATCTTTGAGATTAATGTCAGTGAATCATTCACTTACAGTTTACACATAACACTCTTAACCGTCCTCGAATCAATGTATCGGAAAGAGAGCTTGAACATTCTATTCTTTCACCCACTTTTGAACTTTGGTGAAGAAATATAAGGTTGGCACATCAGTTTTGCAGTTTTTTCGTAACTTTTCTCTTTTTGGCTGTGACGCATTCATTTTTGGGCATATTGTAGATTAGCGAAAGCTGGTCACAAAATTTCAATTGTTGGAAAACCAGAAATAAAGCCGTTCTCAATCTGAATCAAACTCATCAAGCCGAAATTGTACATATCATGCAGATTCCTTTATCAACAATCGGGTACAGTCTCGGCTTGATGTGCTCGGTTTAGACTAAGAACGGCTTTTATTTTTGGTTTTCCGACCCTTGAAATTTCGAAATCAACAAGCTTTCGAAGAATGGGTAAATTTTCTCCACTTAACCGAAAATCAAATTTGCGTACGTTTATAGTGTACTACCTAATCTAGAAAAGTTACGAAATAAGTTGCAAAGTGTTTGTTC